TAAAGATCTTATTTATTTATTTATTTGAGAGAGAGAGTGAGAGAGGGATGAGGGACAGAGGGAGAAGCAGACTCCCCCCCACACACACTGAATAAGGAGCCCGATGCGGGGCTCGATCCCAGGATTCTGGGATCACGACCTGAGCCGGAGGCAGCAGCTTAACTGACTGAGCCACCCAGGCGCCCCGGAACAGAAAGCATTTCTTCCAAACTGATGGAAGGGAGAAAAAAAGAACAAGACAAAACAACAGACCTCTCCTAATTGATAGAAGAAGTGAACAAACTATTAATAATGATACATAAGATTTGAATACATGTGGACTTCCTCCTGGATGGTGAAAATGCTGTCTCCAGCTGTATCTGGGGACTGGGTGGGAAGGTGATGTGGTGTGGGAAGATTTAGTTCCCCGCAGACGCCTGGTCCTGGGAATATCGGTATCAGGATGCAGCAGACACCGCCGATTCTCCCACCCTCACCTCTCAGTCTGATCCCCTCAGTCGGCTCCAGCGAACTTCTACTTTCTGCCTCTCATTACCTGAAGGCTTTTCCCAAAGCTGCAAAAGACCTCTCTGCCCTGAGAGTGACTGACAGGGGAGGTATATAAATACCCCAGCTCCCTCACCCCTCTGGTGAGATCACCCTATGACATTCTCCAGAGTTTTCCCACGGACTTTAGCTCCGGTTGCCAAGAGTAGTAGCCGGTGATAACATACCCTTCATTGGCAGCCTTCCCTTCCCTGGGGCATTTCCCCACCCACCCCTGCTGGGGTTTCCTGCACTTCCTGAAAAACTGTGTACACTTTAATCCATATCTCAGGGTCTGCTTCTGGGGGAAGCAGGTCCCACGTTAGAGAGAGGCTACTGGACCCAAGTGGCTATTGGACACAAGAGCCGTCCCTTAGTGGATGCTGTTCCCAAGGAAGCCATGGACCTGGACCCATGGGAGGATCCTCTCCGTTTGACAGGGAAAGGCAAGACTTAGGGTTGGGCTGGACAGCCTGGAGGCCTCAGCTGGTGAGAAAACCCGGAGCGCCCAGGGTGCTTCTCTTGGGGCAGAGAGGACAACAGGTAAATCTGCTTCTCAGGAGGACAAGGCTTTAGGCAGTCCTGGGCCTGCTCGCTGACAGTGGTGGCCCAGATCCAAGACTTTCTGGACAGTACCCAGGGAAGACTGGGTGTCTTTGTTGGCAAGTACATATACCTTCTCGTGGGGAAATGGATCCAGGACTTTTGGAGCTCCATTTCTGTTTCAGAAGAGCTAGATGAGAGACCTTCCAGGCTCCTTGCCCACAAACCCCTTCCATCCTGTGGCTGCAAGAAAGGGAATTTAAGGAACCCTATTTCAGTAGTCAGGACACAGCACGACTGAGAGGAAAGAGGGTGGGCTGTAGAAGGAACAGAGCTCCATTCTAATCCCAGTTTTGTCCCTTGCTGGATGATGTAGATAGATGGCTTAACATCTCTGAACTGCCGTATGCTCACCTATGAGACAGGGATTATAACTGTATTACCTTATAGGATTCTTGTGAGGATTAGCTTAAATAATGCTTATAATGTGCATGGCAAGTATCTCTGGTACATAAAAAGTAATCTATAAATTGTACATAATTATTATATTTGCCAAAAGCTTGTTTATTTTTTTTTAAGATTTTATTTATTTGACAGAGAGAGAGCACAAGGGGGGGGGCGGGAGAGGGAGAAGCAGTCTCCCCACTGAGCAAGGAGCCCAACCCGGGACTCAATCCCAAGACCCTGGGATCATGACCTAAGCCGAAGGCAGATGCTTAACTGACTGACCCACCCAGGTGTCCCGCCACAAGTTTGTTTATAATAACAAAAGAGAATGGAAACAACCAAATGTCTATCAGAGGGATATTGGTTAAATAAAGATGTTACAGGGGTGCCTGGGTGGCTCAGATGGTTAAGCGTCTGCCTTCGGCTCAGGTCATGATCCCAGGGTCCTGGGATAGGGTCCCACGTCAGGCTCCCTGCTCCTTGGGAGCCTGTTTCTCCCTCTGCCTCTCTCTCTCTCTGTCTCTGTCTTTCATGAATAAATAAATAAAATCTTTAAAAAAAATAAAGATGTGGGTGCCTGGGTGGCTCAGTTGGTTAAGCGACTGCCTTCGGCTCAGGTCATGATCCTGGAGTTCCGGGATCGAGTCCCACATCGGGCTCCCTGCTCAGCGGGGAGTCTGCTTCTCCCTCTGACCCTCTTCCCTCTCGTGCTCTCTGTCTCTCATTCTCTCTCTCTCAAATAAATAAATAAAATCTTTAAAAAAAATAAAGATGTTACATCCAAATATACAGTGGGATTCTGTGCAGCCATTAAAAATTATGATGCAGATCTATATGTGTTAGTGTGGAAAACTATTTATGTACAGCTGGTTCCCGACTTTACGATAATGGGAAAGAGATACGCATTCAGCAGAAAGTATATTTCACAATTTTAAATTTTGATCTTTTCCAGGGCTAGCCAATATGCAGTACTGTACTTTTTTGTGATGCTGGGCAGCCACAGATCCCTGTCAGCCACCACAATCAGGAGGGTAAACAACCAGTACCTTTACAACCATTCTGCACCCATATAGCCATTCTGCTTTTTCACCTTCAGCACACTGTTCAATAAATGACATTTGGGTCAGATGATTTTGCCAGACTGTAGGCTAAGTATGTGTTCTGAGCACGTGTAAGGTGTAAGACTAAGCTAAGCTATGATGTTCTGTAGGTTAGGTGGATTCAATATGTTTTCTTTCTTTTTTTTTTTTTTAGATTTATTTATTTATTTGACAGAGATAGAGAGAGCAGGAACACAAGCAGGGGGAGTGGGAGAGGGAGAAGCATGCTACCCGCAGAGCAGGGAGCCTGACACGGGGCTCGATCCCAGGACCCTGGGATCATGACCTGTGCGGAAGGCAGACGCTTAACGACTGAGCCACCCAGGCGCCCCTCAATGTATTTTCAACTTACAACGGGATTTTGGGGATGTAACCCCATCTTTTTTTTAAAAAAAGATTTTATTTGTAAGTAATCTCTACACCCAACATGGGGTTCAAACCCACAACCCTGAGATCAAGAGTCACATGCTCCACCGACTGAGCCAGCCAGGCACCCTGGGGATGTAACCCCATCTTAAGTCAAGAAAGATCTGTATTTATTATTTAGTAGAGCGAAAAAGCAGGTTACATCTCAGTATATATATATACACTGACCTGATTTTATGTTTAAACCCAACTTTGAACGACTGTATATACACGTATGTGGAATTCTATGTATAAGTGCTTAGAAAGATATTTGGAATGAGATACGCCAAACCATTAACACTGGTTATCACTGCAGGGTGAGGACATGAGTAGAGTTTTTTTTTTTCTGCTTATCTGTATTTTATTTTGTTATTTTTTATTTTTTTAGAGAGTGAGCAAGGTGGGAGGGACAGAAGGAGAAGGAGAGGGAGAGAATCCTAAGCAGACTTCACACCCCAGACAGAGCCCAACACGGGGCTTGATCCCACAACCCTGAGATCATGACCTGAGCCGAAATCAGGAGTCAGACACTTAACCAACTGAGCCACCCAGGCACTCCTGCTTATCTGTATTTTAATCTTTTAAATAATTACTATGGGGCGCCTGGGTGGCTCAGTCGGTTAAGCCACTGCCTTCGGCTCAGGTCATGATCCTGGAGTCCTGGGATCGAGTCCCGCATCGGGCTCCCTGCTCGGCAGGGAGTCTGCTTCTCCCTCTGACCCTCCCCTCTCTCATGTTCTCTCTCTCTATCTCATTCTCTCTCTCAAATAAATAAATAAATCTTTAAAAAAATAATAATAATAATAATTACTATGTGTGATATATGAAACAAAAATAATAATAAAGGAAAAGATAAAAATGTGTGGTCCAGAACAAGAGCTCCAAGTGAGGTGGACTCGACACAAAGCAGAGCAAAAAAGGAATGAGGTTTTTGGGTTTTCCAAATGAAAGGGAAGCTTGATAAAAGCTTTTTTTTTTATTGTGATAAAATATACATAACATAAAATTTACCATTTTAGCCATTTTAAAATGTACAGTTCAGTGACATTAAGCATCTTCACATTGTTGTACAATCAATACTGCCACCCGTGGCCAGAACTCTGTCATTTTCTCAAACTGAAACTGTCCCCACTAAATACTAACTCCCCTTTCCCCTCTCCCTTCAGCTGCTGCAGCCCCCAGTCTACTTTTTATCTCCATGAATTTGACTGCTCTGGGTCCTCATACAAGTAGACACATAGATTCTTTGTCCTTTTGTGTCTGGCTTATTTCACGTAGCATAATGGGTCACAATTCCCTACTTTTTAAAGGCTGGATAATATTCCACTGTATGTCTGTGCACTTTGTTTATCCATCTATCTGTTGGTGGACATAGGGGTTGTTTCCACATTTTGACTACTGTGAATACTGCTGTTATGGACAGCGTGTTTTACAAGATTTTATTTTATTTATTTATTGTAGGGGGAGGCAGAGAGAGAGGGAGAGAGAATCTTAGGCAGGCTCCACGCCCAGTGCAGAGCCAACACGGGGCTCGATCCCACAACCCCCCACGACCCTGAGATCATGACCTGAGCCGAGATCAAGAGTCAGACGCTTAACCAACTAAGCCACCCAGGCGCCCCTGTCTTACCAGATTTTAAATAAAAGTCACCATCCATCAGTCTCTGTCTGGCTTCTCTCCAATTGCTGATTAGGTTGAGATTCAGCTAACATTTAACAAGCAGCCGCTGAGCTCCCAGAACTAGGCTAAGTGCTTGCAATCCACTGCATTATGTAAATCCTTAAAACAGCCCTGTGAGTGAAGTAAGCCACAGTTATTCCCATTTTATAGAAAAGGATACTCAGGCTCAGAGAGGTCGAAGTAGCATGTCCAAGGCCACCATATCAGGACGGGCTAGGTTATGCTATAAGTAACAAATGCCCCAAAATCTGAGAGACAATTTTTCTTCTTTGACAAATATTTATTTCTCACTCATGCTAGGTCAGCTTGTCCGTCCTCCAAATGACCTTCACACAGGGCTAACAGAACAACCCCTCTCGGGGCCATTGCTGGATTCATGACAGAAAGAAAAGAGAAAGATGGCAGCCCACAAGCTAACCCTTAGCATGACTCAGCTTAAAAGTGGCATGGCCATTTACACCCACATTTCACTCCCCAAATCAACTAATAATATATAATAATTATATATAATATATGTATTGTACATATATAATTGCATATACACTATTTTTATATATTTAGTGCATGCATATATATAATGATCTTGCCTGCCTATATTTTATATATATACATAATATATATGATATATATGTTATATATTAAGCAGATTATATAATACTACATATTATGTATCTATAATATATGTATGTATATAAAATTTAGGCATTCAAGATCAGAGCAAGCTCAAGAAGGTTGCTTTTCTGGTGATTTAATTATGGATATTTTGATTTTATGGACATGTAGATACTTAGAAAAAGCGATTTTCTGATCTGCATGGACAGGGCCATGTCCTCGCAGAGCTCCCGCAGTGGGAAGGAAAGACAAGAACGAGTGGTTTCCATAAAGTGTCATGGACTCCCGAGAACCTGAGAGTGGTTAAGAGCTTTTCCTAAAATTGCCCAGTGACTAAATGGTTAAGGGCACTTAAATGGAGTGTTTAAGAGCAATAGCTTTAGCTTTGAATTCAAAATCCCAGTTCCATCAACTTGGCCATGTGACACCCCCACCCGCCAGCCTCCAGGCACGTTACTAACCCTCCCTCTCAGCCTAGGTTTTGCGCTCTGTAAAATGGGTTGTTGTAAGGCTTACTGAGACAATGCTTGGAAAATCCTGAGCCCGGTGCCTGGCCCACAGAGAGTCGCTGATATTTAAGAAGACACTTGACCCAGGGTTTCCAAACCCAAGTTTGTGGCCCTTCCCAGGCGCTTGCACTGCCTCTAGCTAGGGACAAGGCCTACTTCCTCAGCGACAATGGTGCTCCCTACACTGCGGTAGGGACCTCATGTCTCTTCAAAGGTAATAACTGACAGGAAACCGTTGCCTCCAGAGAGAGAGGGAGCTGGGACGTACGCAGGTGTGAGGAGACTACATAACCTTCTGAACTGTTTGAGAAGACCATTTACTTGTTCAGAAATTCCTTTCAGGTTTAAAAATATGGGAATGAAATTATTTTAATGATTTGAATTCATGAACTATTCAGTTAGTCCTTCAGTGGAAAGCTCTGTTCCCTTTGCAGAGCATGGTTTTCCTCAAAGTTTAGTCTGAGGACCACTCGTGTTAGAATTCTGTGCTCCCCCCCACCGCTGGCTCCAGTGAACCAGAATTTCTGGGGTGGAGGAGGAGGGAGCCTGCTTAGCCTCACTTTTAATTAGCTCCCCTGGTAATTCTTAAATTAAAAACACCAAAGTTTAAGAACCACTATTTTATGAATCCTTCAGCGTATCAAGTGCTTAGAAATGCTACCTTCCCTTCACTCTGCCTTCACTGAGATTATATTGCAGTTCAGAGGGCCAAGAGACTCCCCCTGCAATTTTGTTGTTACTTACTGTGCAAACTAAAATTATTCGCCATGTCATCCCATTGTCCTACCAATACCAGTGGTCAAATGCTGCCTCAACTGGTTGAATAAGTGTAATGGAATTTTATGTAACTATTAAAAAAGAGTAAGCAGGCTCTTTCCACTGTACTGTGGACTAAACCCTGAGATATGTAAAGAAGAGAAATCAAAGTGTACCAGAGTGTGTTTAGCCTGCTAGCACTTGTGTAAAAGTGCTATGCACACACACAAGATATATACACATACGTGCTTGTATATGCAAACCTTCGTGTGTGCAGATCTCTGGAAGAACGTACAAGGGACTGGGGTGGAGAATTGTGGTAACCTCTGGGGACAGGGACCCAGTGGCTGGGGACATGGGTAAGAGAAGGGTCTTTTTTAAAAAGATTTTATTTATTGGGGCACCTGGGTGGCTCAGTCATTAAGCGTCTGCCTTCCGCTCAGGTTGGGATCGAGCCCCAAATGGGAAACAACCTGAATGCCCATCAATACATAAATAGGTAACCAGTCATGGCACATCAGTCCAACAGAATACTACTTAGCAGTAAAAAAGAATGAACTACTGATACTTGCCCCAACATGGATGAATCTAAAAATAATTACACTGAGAGGAAAAAAAGCCAGACGGAAAAGAATGCACACTGCATGATTTCATTTATATAAATCTCTAGAAAACGCAGGCTAATCTACAGTGACAGAAAGCAGAGGAGTGGTCGCTCAGGGGTAGGAGCACAGAGGACTGGGCGGGAGGGATTACAAAGAGGAAACTTTTTGGGGTAAATGGGGATTGTGGTGAGGGTTTCACGGAGGCACACATATTCAAAACTCATGAAATTACACACTTTAAATACGTGCCGTTCACTGTATATCAAATATTCCTCAACAAAGCTGTTTTTAAAAAAAGAATCTCAGGGTATCACGTGTAACTCCAGAAACAGGTTATGCTTTTTGGTTTGAAGGAAATGTTCTCTATCTTGACTGTGGTGGTAGTTACATGACTGTATATTTGGTTTTTTGTTTTGTTCTGTTTTGAATTTTATTTTTAGGTCATCTCCATACCCAACATGGGGATTGAACATATAACCCCAAGATCAAGAGTCGTGTGCTCTACTGACTGAGCCGGCCAGGAACCCCTGTCAAAGCTCATTGACTTGCATACTTAAAAATCAGGGTTTCGTTTCATATAAATTTTACCCCCATGAAATTTATTTTTAACCAACAGGACATACACGTGAGCACACACACACACACACACACACACACACACACACACACAAGAGAGAGACACAACAGGTCAGCAGCTAGACCCCAGGAACATCTGGCGGCCACCTACCACAACTGCAAAGATGCTCATTCTCCATCTTTGTCTCTTGTCTCTGGTTCTCCATATGCCCACATTATTCCTCTCTCTATCTAATCTTCTCACTCAGCGATTCCTTTCCAGTTCTCTGGCCTAAAAGGTAGAACCTTCAGCTGCCAGTACTTTCTGAGCTTTATATGTTAAGGTCCAGGCATCCAAAAAAGGAAGGAACTTCTCTCGGAGTCAAGCTACAAAATTCATGGGGAAGGATTCAAGGTTGTGTGTGGGCTTTAATTCACTTACTAGAAAAATATGGAGCAGCTCTTGCAGGCATCGGGCCCAGTCCCGGGGTCCCGTGGAGAATGACGCTAATTGAAGTCTTTGCTCCCGTGTGGCTTATCGTCCGGGGAGGAGACAAGCAAATGACACTCCTACTACAAATCGTGATAAGCACTTTAAAGAACAAAAATGAGAGCAACAGCATAGATTGTGATGGGGCACGTGTAACTGCAGATAAGTAGCCAAGGATGGTCTCTAAGGAGGTGACATTTGAATAGACATGAAGGATAAGGAGTCAACTCTCCAAAGATCTGGCTGAAGAGAGGTTAGGTCCAGGTAGAAGTCGTAGCAGGTGTAAAGCCTGGAGAAAGATGTGTGAGTCACTGTGGCTGGGGCTTAGTTAGGAGAATGGAAAGGGGTGAGGGCAGGTCTCGGAGGGCCTTGCAGGGCCGGGAGAGGAATTCACAACTCATTCACAGTGTCTTGGAAAGCCTCTGGAGCAGCTAAAGCAGAGGACTGGCTTGATGTGATTTTTTTGGCTGCTATGAGAAGAACAGGTTGTCATAGGGCAGGGGAGGAAGCAGGGAACCAGTAGTCGCCCATGCTGGGGCTACAGCCCACAGGAGTGGTGACAGCTTGGGTGTTGGGGCAGAGGGAGGGAGAGGGAGAGGGGAGAAAGATGGTGTGTAGGCAAAGACAGGAATAAAGTGCCTAAATGTGGCCAGGGCGGAGTCCTGCTTACGGACAAGGCCCTGCCCACAGTGATCACGTGGCTGAAGATGGCGACGCCGTGAAGGAGCAGTCAAAGGAATATGTGCCTATTTTAAATTCCCTCTCTGAGTCCCAGTAAGGAGGTCTGGAAAAGGAGATGGTTGGAATAGCTTCAGTGGTTCTCAGCGGGGGCGGAAACACCCACTACAGAATACTGACATTTAGAGGAGGGGGCTGGGGGTTCTACACATCCAGAAATATGTAGGACCATCCCACACAGTGACGAATGGTCCCATGTCCCACTTTCAAATGCCCCACTGCACATTTATGAAGATGAAAAATCTATAAAGTTATCTGAGCCTGGAATCTAACTCCATTTTACATACAAGTATGGTTTTTAAAAAATATTTCCCAGGAAAGCAACTCAAGTGAAAATCAAAAGATTTCATCTGTTTAACGATTTGCCTAAGGGGCGCCTGGCTGGCTCAGTCGGTAGGGCTTGCGACTCCTGATCTCAGGGGTCATGAGTTCGAGACCCATGTTGGGTGTAGAGATTACTTTAAAAAAAATGGGGCGCCTGGGTGGCGCAGTTAAGCACCCGACTCTTGGTTTCGGCCTAGGTTGTGATCTCAGAATCCTGAGATCAAGCCCCGCACCGGGCTCCATGCTCAGCACAGAGTCTGCTTGAGATTCTCTCTCCCTCTCCCTCTGCCCCTCCCGCTGATACTCTCTCTCTCAAATAAATAAATAAATAAATAAATAAATAAATAAATAAATAAATAAAAGATCTGCCCAAGGCGCATGTCACCAATGGCAAGGCTCAGAGTTTTTGAAGCACAAGACGCCCCTATCGGTCTGCATTTATAGCTGTGGCATCCAGGGCAATTCTACGTAGAGGTGCAAACACCTATCTCAGTCTCTCCTAGGGTAATCATGCCTAGGTATTCACAGATTTAAAGTGCATTTTATAAATTACTTTCCTTTTATTTCTCCTTTTTTTTACAGTTGAGATTGCAATCCCAAACATATTACATATATAAACTCATTTAATCTTCAACACAGTCCTGTGAGATAGCCGCTGTCATTGCCCCCATTTTATAGATGAAGAAACTGAGGCACAGAGTCAGATCCCAGTTCACACAACTAATAAGCAGCAGAGCAGGGATTCGAACTTAGGCGGTTTTATTCCAAATTTTATATCATCAAAAGCACAAGCACTACATCGTATAGACTTTAGGTAGGTTTTCTGTGAATTTTACTTCAGGACAGCAAGGTCATTACTAAGTATTGATCTGCTAAGAATGCAGCACCCAGGGGCCTAGGTGCCCTCTGGGCCTCTCCCAGCTCTAAAATCTGTTAACTCTGGCTGTGTGCTTCTACAGACGTTCTCATTCAATTTAAGCTTATGCTTGGAAGCTGGAGGAACTTCCTGAAGAGGAACGATGTTACATCAAATCGGTGAAGTGGGCTGGTGGCAGGGCAATGAGCAACCCCTTCTCAAGAGAAGTTTGGTGATACACCACATCCTTTGACTCTGGCTTCACTTCAGAGAATCTTTCCTTAGGAAATATTTTTTATCGCGGTAAAATACACATTACATAAAACTTGCCATTTTAACCATTTTAAAGTGTGCGACGCAGTAGCGTTGAGTACATTCACAATGTTGTGCAACCAGCACCACTATCTTGTTCCAGAACACTTGATCACCCCAAAGGGAAACCTCATACCCATTACACAGCCACTTCCCCAGTTCCTTCTGTCACAGGCTCTGGCAGCCCCGAGTCTGCTTTCTGTCTTTATGAACTTTTCTATTCTGGGTATTTCATATAAATGGTATCATACAAGACATGACCTCCCGTGTCTGGATTTTTCACTCAGGATAATGTTTTCAGGGTTCATCTGTATTGAAGCACACATCAGCACATCATTCTTTAAAAAAAATTTTGGGGGGCGCCTGGGTGGCTCAGTCGTTAAGCATCTGCCTTCGGCTCGGGTCATGATCCCAGGGTCCTGGGATCAAGCCCCGCATCGGGCTCCCTGCTCCACGGGAAGCCTGCTTCTCCCTTTCCCACTCCCCTTGCATGTGTTCCCTCTCTCGCTGTCTCTGTCAAATAAATAAAATCTTAAAAAATAAATAAAATAAATTTTTATTGAGGTAAAACTCACATAACATAAAATTAAACATTTTAAAGTGTACAATTCCACGTTGTTTAGTACATTCACAATGTTGTGCAACTATTACTCTACCTAGTTCCAAAACATTTCATCACCCCCAAATAAAACCTGTACCCTTAAAGTTAATTCCCATTCTCCCCTTCCCCCTAGTCCCTGGCAACCACCAATCCACATTCTGCATCTAAGGATTTATCTATTCTGGATATTTCACACGAGTGGAATCATTTATTATGTGACCGTTTGTGTCTGGCTTCTTTCACTTAACGTTATGTTTCTGAGGTGCGTCCACACTGCCGTATTATATCCGTACTTTATACCTTTCTACGGTTGAGCAATATTTCATTGTATGCATAGACCACACTTTGTTTATCCATTCATCCACTGATGGACATCTGGGGCATTTCCACCTTTCAGTTCTTGTGAATAGTGTGCTATAGACATTCATGTACACGTTTTTGTTTGAATACCTGCTTTCAACTCCTTGGGGCATATACCTAAGAGTGGGATTTCTGTGTCATGCACTAAGTCTATGTATACATTGCTGAGGGACCACCATCCTGGTCCACCATTTTACATTCCCAACAGCAATGTTCCAATTTCTCTATCTCTGCATCCCTCCAGCAATTTTTTAAAAAAATTATTATGGTTATCCTGGTGGGTATGAGGTGTTGTCTCATTGTGGTTTTGATCTGCGTTTTCCTAATGACTTGTAACATTGAGCATCTTTTCATGTGCTTATGGGCCATTTGTTTATTTTCATCAGAGAAATGTCTATTCAAGTCTTTTGTCCGTTTTTTAAAATTGGGTTGTCTTTTTGTTGTTGAGTTGTGCCTAAGGAAATCATTTTAAATTTGAAAAAGATATCTAAACGTAAAAATATTCACCACAGTATAATTTGCAATAGGGAGAAGACTGAAAGTGACATTAATGTCTAATAATAGGGGATACAAAAACAATCCCTGTTCTCAAGGGGCACTCTGTCCTGCCAGCAAGACACAAGAAAGACAATAAATTCAGTGATTCCTATATTCAGGGTGTGCGCAGGGTGCCAAAGGAACTCAGAAGAGGGGTGGGAGGGTGTCAGGGAAGGCTTCCCCAGGCAGGTGAAGAAATGTGAGGGCGGGCGCGTGAGGCAGAAAGCTGGCACCCACCCAGAGCTATGAAAGAGAATGATACACCTGGAGAACCACAAACAGTTTTTTGGGTTGTGGTACAAGTTTCAGTGCAGCGGGGCAGGAAGGAGCTAGAGCAGGAAGAATCTTTTGTGCTAAATCTTTACCTGAAAACTCAAGGAGCCTCTAACGGAGGTGAATTCCAAACATCAACTTCATGTTTTGGAAAGATCACTCTGACAGCCGCGTGGAGGATGGGCGATGGTGGAGACAGACTAGGGGCTAGTCAGGAGGTGTCATAAGACAGAATGAACTAAGACAGTGGCTGTAGAGAGGAGGTAAGAAGGTGGGGGATCAGATATAATTCCTAGATCATAGTTCCTGCCTGATATGAGTTGGACTGTCTGCCCCCAAAACAGATACGTTGAAATCCTAGCTCCCAGTACCCCTGAATGTGACCTTATTTGGAAACAGGGTCATTGCAAATGTAATTGTTAAGATGAGGTCATCCTGTAGTAGGGTGGACCCCTAATCCAATATGACTCATGTCCTGATAAGAAGACAGAGACACACAGGGAGAAGGCCGTGTGATGATGAAGGCCCAGACCGGGGATGTGCAGCTATAAGCCAAGGAATGCCAAAGATTGCCAGCAAACCACCAGAAGCTAGGAAAAAGCAAAGAGAGATTCTCCTATAGGTTTTAGAGGGAACATGACCCTGCTGACACAGGGCAGGAGGGGCAGAGGGAGAGGGAGAGAATCTTAAGCAGACTCCCCACTGAATGTGAGCCCGACGCTGGGCTCAGTCTCACGAGTCTGAGATCATGACCTGAGCCGAAACCAAGAGTCAGATCCTTAACCAACTGTACCACCCAGGCTCCTCTCAGGCTGAGTTTTAAATGTTTTACTTAGAGCAGCCCATTCCATCCTTTCAGCTCTCTGTGAGGAAATTCTATTATTATCCTCACTTTATAATTAAGGAAACGGAAACACAGAATGGTCAAGCAAATCTCCCAAGGTGACAAAGATAGGTAAATGGAAGAGCCAAGATTTGGTGCCTGGCAGGCTGACTACAAGCTCTCATGCTCTCACCCAATATGCTACACAGCCATTTTGGATAAATATTTGCTGTAAGTTTCAACGGATGGATGGATGGATGGATGGATGAGTAAATCTGGATACGGTACAAGCGTGAAAAATGGGGGCAATGAAAAAAGAGATAGATGGAGGATGAGCCCTTGTATCTGGCTCAGTTGACTTAGTAAATAAAGGCATCTGCATCCATAGAGGCAGGAAAAAGAGGGGCAAAGTCAGCTTTGAGGGGTGGAGGTTGAAGACTGAAGAAGGAATGAATACAATCTTGAAATGCTGAGTTTGAGTTGCTGTAAGTAAACAACTCAAGTAAGATGTCCAGTAGACTGCTGGACAAATGGATCTGGAGCTCCGGAAAGAGAGGTGGTTAGGAATTACAGATTTGGGAGCCTTCTTGGTGCTGAATGTCGGGGAGTTGAATGAGATCACCTAAGCAAGATGTGTGGGAAGAGACAAGCAGACCACCCACAGCACAGCCCTGGGGAAAACTGGAATTCGGGGGGCCAGCACAGGAAAAGGAGATTTTACCTACTAGCACAGGATCTGTTATAGAAAGGACAGAAGTCAGCTTGTGGTGGGCTGGGGGTTGAATAAAAAGTGAACCAGAGGGTAAGCAGATGAGCTGCAGGTGATAGAGTGAGACACATAGCTTTGTGGGTTGGCGTCCAAGAACAGGTGCAGAGATGACTCTCCACAGTGCTGTGCTGGAGTAGCCCATACCAACTGACTGGTACATTTTAGGAATTTGCAAGCTGGTTGTTAAATACAGCCATTATTTAAAATTAAGTTGTAAAAACTTACAAATAAATTATATTTAAAGACAAAGGTCATAAATTTTCAAACTCATCTCTCCCTAATTACTTACTACATTTTACTATTATCTGTGCCATTATTTGTTGTTTCTGTATAGCAGAAGTACTACAACTGCACTCTTCCCAGTTCTATGTTCAGTGACGTCTACTGATAGTTTGCAATTGGCCATGGCACGGAGGGTATTTATACCATGGAAACTGGCAAGTGCTACAGGTCAGAATTTGACTTTTTGTTGATTGTCTACACTTAAGAAAGTAATAGAGAAAATGTTAGTAATGCATATTAAACTTAAAAGTACGTAGTGTCTATAGCCATTACATTGTAAATGACGCCAAAAGTTGAGGAAACAGTCTTCCAGTATTCAAAAACTATTACCCAGTTCTGCAAAGAAGTCACTCACATTGTTGATGGATGAGTGAAGTTTTAACCTAAATCTTCATTTTTTTACTTTTGAATCTTTAACATAGAGAAAAATTTCAACCAACATTTATGTTGGGTTTGTCAAGTGCAACCATAGACCGGTTAGGATGTAAGAGTTTGGCAAAAATCAACAAAAGCATTCCGTGAGAATCAACTGGGGGTGCCTGTGTGGCTCGGTTGGTTAAGCATCGATTCTTGGTTTCAGCTCAGGTCATGATCTCAGGGTCGTGAGATCCAGTCCCGTATCGGGCTCTTAACTTAGGGGAGTCTGCTTCTCTCTTTCTCCCTCTCCCTCCGCTCCTCCCCAAGTGCTCTTTCTCTCTCTCAAACAAATAAATAAATCTTTTTAAAAAATTGGGGGGGGTGCCTCAGTCGGTTAAGCATCTGCCTTCAGCTCAGGTCATGATCCTTGCGTCCTGGGACCAAGTCCCATAAGGGGTTCCTGCTCAGCAGGGAGTCTGCTTCTCCCTCTGTTCCTCCCCCCCCATGCTCTCTCTCTCTCAAATAAATAAATAAACCTATAAAAATCAATTGGCTACATGGAATTTATAATAAAGAGTAATACATATTTTATTATTTTTAAATTGTATGTTACACATCCTTTGTATCAGTAAAATTTATAGTAAATTATTATGTGTGTGGGTATACACACACATACACACACACACACACACACACTCCTTCAACCTCCCGACTCCAGCAGAGGCAGAACAGTCTCACTCCTGGGAACGGGTCATTGGAGTGAAGGTAGCAAAAGCCTTCAGTGCTGAGGGGCTATAAGATGCACTGAATTTGCCCAGGATGAGAATGCCACCCAAAGAACTCCATGCACTGAGTGATGGGGAGGGTGAGCAGAAGACAGCAGAAATGAGGGGTAGTGGTTGTAACAGCCTGATGGTCATTGTCTCAAGCTGGTGTTACTCAAGGATGGAAGAGCAATGGTCTGGACTTGGCCATGCATGGATTGCTGAGCCCTAATTCCCACTGGCCTTTGTAGTACAGGGGTCACAGAAGAACAAGTAGCCTTCATTTTTGAGGTCCCAGAGAAAGCAGTGTCCTCAGAGGACAACTTGGTTTCAGTTAATAATAACAGCTTCCTCTTATTGAGTGCAAAGGGAGCCTAGTGATATGATCAGGGTTTCTAAGTTAGACATTTCAGGTTAGAATTCTGGCTCTGCCACTTCCTAGACATGTGATACTGGGCAAGCTATGTACTCTCTGAGCCCCACACCCCTGCCTCCTTATCCGACCTTACACTCAAAGGGCGCCTGGGTGGCTCACTTGTTAAGCATCTGCCTTCAGCTCAGGTCATGATCCCAGGGTCCTGGGATCGAGCCCCCGCACTGGGCTCCCTGCTCAGCGGGAAGCCTGCTTCTCCCTCTCCCACTCTCCCTGCTTGTGTTCCCTCTCTCACTGTGTCTCTCTCTGTCAAATAAATAAACAAAATCTTAAAAAAAAATTACAATTACACATGGGGGGCGGGGAGGGAGGTAAGAGGAATACATCATAATGTTAACAACAGTTTTCCCTGGATTGCAGGACCATTTAGTTTTTCTTTACTTCCTCTGTACTTCCCAAAACTCCTACAACCCTATTTTTATGTTCATTCTGAAAAAATATTTTTTAAAGCAAAGATTAGTATAGGAAGGAAAATCTTCATTTATTTTTTAAAATAGATTTTATTTATTTGACAGCACAAGCAGCAGGGAGAGGCAGAAAGAGGGAGAAGCAGGCTCCCCAGTGAGCAGGGAGCCCGATGTAGGGCTCAATCCCAGGACCCTGAGCCGAAGGCAGACACTTAACGAACTTGAGACACCTAGGCACCCCGGAAAATCTTCACTTAAAAATAAAAAAAGACCAGTGTTGTCTCAGGACATGAGAAAATTTTTAAAGTCTTCTGTGGTGAGTACACAGTCCTATCACCAGAGCAAATGACAGCAAAGGGCAGGAAAGGCATTTGCAGAGTTTAGCATTTCCAAGTCATCCTTCTTCACCAGTAAAAAAATGGATTCAGTTCAAAGGCTGTCTCCTCTTCTCTATTTTCTGTCTCATCCTGTGATTTTTACATTTCAGGAGGACTTATAATGAATAAAAGTGCTATACATTAATCTAAACATGATTCAAATCTTTAATTTATGTATTCATTAAAATTTTACCTGTTATCAATCTTAAGGTTCTAGGTGTTAATGGCAATTCTAAATGAAAGTCAAATATAATCATTTGCATAAAAGCATTAGAAGATGATTAACTGGTATTTTCATACAGCTGTGATCCATTCTGCACTTCTAGAGCTGAAAACAATGTTTCCCCTAAAAACATTTACCTATGCTAATCCTCATGAAGCTGCAGAACACCTTCCAGTTTTTCATGTACTTGGCTACATTTACAGCATGTTCATTACTGGAGTCACATTTCATATTTCCTGATTTTAAAAGACATTACAATTGTGCACCCATGAAAATTGGGCTGATTTCCACACCATCCCTTGAATATTTATGTGTTCCATTCCAACAGGAAGCTAAAGATTAAATCTACCCATGTTAACAAATTCCCATTTGTGTGTTTTAGCACGATTTGGGGAATTTATTCCAATTTCAAGGGAATATATTCCAATTTCCAGGGGCCTAAACTTGAGGTACCCTAAAAAAATAAGTCACAGGGCTTAGGTAGAAAAGTGTTTTCGGAAAAGTGCTTTATCTATGCCGAATAAAAGCTGTAGCACTGGCAGCTCAGATCCAGCTCCAACTGCTAAAGCATGTCCAGGCTGGTTATCTAATGCCTCTGCAGGAATTTAGGCCATGCATTAATGCACTGAAGATAAAATCAATTTGAAAATTTCTTAAATCAAATACCAATCCTGGCATAAACTCTATGTGCAGGAGAACCAGCCAACAGTAATAGGAAGCCAATTATAAACTATAAAGCACTCTGCTCAAACGTCCTGGTTTGTTCCTAGTAGGGCCCATTACACAGTTTGCACAAGTTAAACCCACTGACTAGACAGAACTAGACATATGCATACATGTGCTCCCCCCACCCCATGCACACACACTCATAAAGATGCAGCTCAATTAACAGGAACTCGCTGAGTGCAAAAACTCACAGCAACATCCTGAATACAAACATCTTCCCATTCTGCTAAGGCAGAAGGAGCCAGGCATTTTAGAAATCAGGAGTGAATGCATATACTAGCCTGGCCAACTCCTTGCTATTACTTCCCTTCTCAGTTTCCTCATCTATAAAATGAGGTTAGCAATGAGTGGAAGCCTATGGAGATTACATGAGACAATGTATGTGAGATTCTGAGCACAGCTGTACTCGGCAGATCTTCCTCACTGCCCTGACCCCCAAACAGCAAAGGCATGGATGGCACTGAACTCTTCTAGCGTGGTTGGCAAGCTTGCGAGCAGTGAGGAATTCTATTTGCTTTCTTTATGGGTTGGTTTGGTTTTTAAGATTTTATTTACTTATTTGAGAGAGAGAGCACAAGTGGAGAGGAGGGACAGAGGGAGAGGGAGAAGCAGACTCCTGGCGGAGCACAGAGCCCGACGTAGGGCTCGATCCCAGGACCCCGGGATCGTGACCCAAGCCGAAGGCAGATGCTTAACCGACTGAGCCACCCAGGTGCCCCTCTATTTGGTTTCATTTGCAAGTGTGCTCTGCAGAGAAACTTAGAGGTGGGGGCCATTTTACAAATCTTTCCCAGGCCAGATATCCCAGCTGATGTAAATTAATCCCTTGAAATGTGAATGCAGATATACTGGTCATCTTTTCATGTAATCCAGGCTCTAAGGGCTGTAAAAAAGGATAGTTTTCTACCCTACTCCTCTGCTGCTCCCTTAGATGAGGCTCCAACCTCTGTCCTGGCCTACCACAGGCCATCATCAACCCACCATCCACAAATGGTTTTTCAACTTCTATTCTCTGCAATTCATTTTCACTCATTCAGCTGGTATTTATTGCATGCATAATGCGAATCAGGCACGGGGTTTACAGGGACGGTCTCTAAAGAGCTTCTTGAATAACCACTCTGAGCACAGATCTGACAATGTAACTGCTGTGCTTACCAACCTTCAGAGGATCCCCATTGCTCAAAGCAGAGATTCCCAACTTCGAGACCGATTTGGAATGACCTCGGTCACGCCTGGGCGTGGGTACTTTGAATAAACCACATGGTTGAGTCTCATGTCTCCTCCTGATTGAGAAACAGTAGAAAAACTTGCAAATTTCTTGCTCTGACTACGTAATACCCTCTGCAACATGACCCCAACCTTCCCAGGCTCACTAAACACAATTTGGCCTCTGCCTAAAATTTTGCCTTTCCTCCTTACTATACTCCAGCCATACTACCCACACGGCTGTTTTGTGAGCATACCAAGCACACTCTTTCAAATTTACACATACTGCTACAGGCACTACTTGGGAAGTGTTTCTAGCATTTTCACATAGCATTTCCACATAGTAGGCTCCTTCACCTTCCTCAGAGATCTTCCCTGACCATTCCATCTAACTCCATACATAACTCCAGTCACTAACCCCTTACCTGCTTTACTTTCTTCCAACCTTCATAGCACCCATCGTTATCTGCATATATATTCCTTAGTGGTGTCCCTGTTTATTCTTTCATCTCAACCAGAATGTAAGCCCTGTACGGGCAGAGAGTTTGTGTAGTATGTGGTGGGGGCTCAAGCGCTTAGCCACTAAATCATCACTCTTTCTATAGGTGCTTCAGTCACAGCACTCAACATGCTATTTGTATAATCAAAGTCTAGGTTCTATTTGTTATCAAGAAACTGACTCAAACTCTTTCACAGAAGGGACAGGGGAAGGGGCAGAAACTGCTGAGAAGGCCTCAAGGCAAAGTGGAACTTGGCTGGGCCAAGGCATTTCTCCCCAACTCCCAGGCCAGAGCCTTTTAGTTTTGTTCCCTAAGCTGCTACTCCATCCCCTTTGTCCTTTGTTTACTTAGCTCACATAGGACCCAACATATATACTAGCCCTAACTGGCTTCTCAACATCTAAGAGTCTCCCTCAGTAAAAAGTAAGAACTTGCTGGCCACTGGTTAGCTTTGGGCCAACAGTCTATCTCTGACCCAATTAGTTGTAGCCTTGGGGATGGAGAGGGAGGCACAAGGGAGGAGTGTCTAGCATGCTTCCTAGAGTTTGAGAATGACTGAAGCAGCCTGGCACAAATCCATACCCTCCAGAGATATCAAATCATGCCACTTCTCCCAAACATAGCTTGCTCTTTCATACCTCCACTCCCTTGTACTGGTTTTTCTGCCTGAAATGTACTTTCCCCATATCAACCTTTTTTTCTAAGTGCATAATTCAGTAACATTTAGTACATTCACACTGTTGTGCAACCATCACCACAAATTCCAGAACATTTCATCACTACAAAAAGAAACCCCATACCCATGAGCAGTCACTCCACATCCTCACCCCCAAGCCAACCCCAGGCAACCACTCATGCTTTCAATTCTCTCGGGTATGTATCTAGAAGTGGTTATTGGATATATTGGAATTGCTAGGTTATATGGCAATTCTAAGTTTAACTCTCTGAGAAGCTGCCAAACTGTTTTCAAAAGAGGTTGCACCATTCTACATCCCCATCAGCAATGTATGATGGTTCCAATTTCTCCACACTCTTGCCGGGGCTTGTCATCATCCATCTATTTTAGCCATCCTAGTGGATGTGAAGTGATACCTTGCACATCAGCTTTTTCTACGACACACTTCAAAGCCCAGCTCAAATATGACCACTGACCACTGTGGAACTTCCTAACATGCTCCTGGACAGTTTTAGTTACTCGCTTCTCCATAGTACCATCATTTACCTATTAGTGCCAATTCATTCAAGAATTACTGAGCACCTACTACATGCCAAGCATCATTCTAGGTGAAGATAATAGTGAACGAAACAGACACACAAAAATCCCTGTGCCCTATGGGGCTTAGTCTGGTGGAGAGAGGCAAACAATAAAAAGTTTGTGAAATGGTGTTAAGTGGTATGGGGTAAAGCAAAGCACAGCAGGGCAACAGAACATGCCAGTGGTATGGGGGTGGCAATTCTAAAGTGAAGGTCATGGAAGGTCTCATTGAAATTACAGTTGAGCAGGAATTGAAATTGTTTGAACTATGGGACATCCATGAGAGATGTCAAGTAGGCTTTGGAAAATGGGTCTGGAGTCCAGAGAATAGAGTCCAGGCAGATAGAGCAGTAGTGGAGATAATGAAGAACCAGAACTTCAAATTCAGGTATTGGCTGCTAAACTAGGTGAAAACTCGAGTAGAGGTCTGTCCTAGAAGGCAAAAATCTGTGTTCGTTTTCTATTGCAGCTGTAACAAATTAACACAAACTTGTGGCTTAAAACACAAATTTATCATCCTACAGTTCTACACAAGTCCCACATGGGACTAAAATCAAGGTGTTGGTAGGCTGAGTTCCTTTTTGGGAGACACTAGGAGAGAATGTTTCCTTGATCTTTCCAGGTTCTATAGGCCCCCTTCCTGATCTTCCAAGCCAGCAACATTCCATCTCTCAAACCATTCTTCCTTAGTCCCATCTCCTGATCTCATAGTCAAGAAAGATCCTCTGCTTCTAAGGACTCATGCAATTAAACTAGACCCATCTAGATAATCTGAGATAATCTCCCCAACTCAAGATCCTTAATCACAGCCATGATGTCTCTTTTACCAGGTAGCCTATTTACAGGTTCCAGGGATTTTAAGTATGGACATGGGATGGGGGTTGGGGTACTATTCCTCCTACACAGTAAATGAGGAAAGCATTTCAAAGAGGAGTGATCAACCATGTAATATGCTAACATGTCGGGAAAAAAAAGTTAAGGGTAAAGAATTGACCATTGGATTAAGTACCATAAAGGTTCTAGTAATCTTTACATGGGCAGTTTCAATGGAATTAAAATCCTCATTGGAGTGGGTTCAAGACAAAAGTACAGCGTGCAGTTGGAGAACTCTTTTGAGTTTTGCTATAAAGAGCAAAGGGGATGAGTGTGGGCCAAACAGGATTTTTTTTTTTTTAACATGGAAGAAGTAATAATATGTGGTAGGCTGATGGGAATGATCCAGCAGAGGGAAGTTAACGAACAGAACGTCTAAATCTGTGCCCTCGGAATGGGGATGGGATCTAGTACACAACTAGAAGAGCCTGCCTTACCAAGGGCATGGACAATCTATGTGCCTGGAGGAAAGACAGAGCATACAAGCAGAGATGCAGGTAGTAAGTAGATGTGATGGCAGGAGCCTGTGGAAATTTCCGTGTTTCTATTTTCTAAGTTTGGGGACGCGGGGGGAAAGGCCATAAACAGAGAGAATGGGAAAGTATTAAAATCTAAGTGTTTTCAAGGAGAGTCGAAGAGTATATGAAATAAAGAAATGTAGCAGGATTGTCAGATGGTACTAAGGCCTATTTGAGGTCATGACTTTAAACACAGAGACAGAGTCAGCATGTTCAGTTGCGCAAGTGCGCAAGTGCAGATAAGGTGGCAGACTGAACTTAACCAAAAATGGAGTTTAGCCAGGCAAGTATAATGAAGCAAGAGATGGGGCAGGGTAATTTGCTGTGTAGCTAAGAGTGAATTTAACAACTGACCACTGAATCTAAGGTAGGTAATGAACAGGAGGTGGGAAATTTAAAATAGGGAAAAGGATCAATGAACTCTAAGTCACACATGTATTGTAACCGCTTACTCTGTTCGTAACATCTACAGCTCTAACTCCTCTTCCAGATTAAGATCCTCCAAAGCGGGAAGTGTCTTCTCTTCTCATTCTTAGTACCTTAGCAGATAAGCTTGTTTTCTGAATGGATGGATGGACGCTTACCCTTGGTCTAAGGGAAATTCCCCACCCCCCAGTCCTATGATATAAAGTTCCTCCTTTCTCACTGTTCTCTAAGAGTTTGAGTAAAAAGTTGCAATGCTTCATCAAAAGCTATGGTATAAACAAATCCCTTGGAAAGAGACTAGATGCCTAATTCCTGCAGTGTTGTGTCCAAGAACTAAACCACAAAATGTACCAGATGCATCCCAACTCCAGTTAAGTTTACCCTTATTGAACACCTGGGTGGCATGAAATCTTTGAACTTCCCAACCTCTAATTATTTCACCTCCTTACAGTAATTAACAGAACAGGCCTTGAGAATACCAAGTTTTCTAAGGAGACATAAATGAAATTGAACCTGGGGTGGAGAACGATACACAGACAAAGAGCATGTAAAATAAGTTTTATTGTTCTTTAAAAGGGTTCAGGGTTTGGTTTTAAATCAGGCTGCACACCTTTCATCAGTCTGACATCTCTCTCACCATGTCAAACTGGCTTCAGCTAGCAATACTTCATTAAATCCAAAAGAAAAAAACTTTTAATTTTGAGGAAGAAAATCCAGTTCTGAGAACAATTAACATTAGTATGTGATTTAAAACAAAATGAGGGATAATGTTTCTTGTCGCTTTATACACCCTTCTCCGCATACAGAACCAGGAATGTAATTTTCCTATCTCAGGCAGGCACTGATGCTGCTGGACACTGCACACACATATACACACACATACACACACACTCCCCACAAACAAAATCAGAGCATGTCAAAGGGAAAAAGGTTGTTACTGTATTGATCAAAACCCTTGAAGTCAATAGACAGTCTAAGTTTAGAGGGTATGCTGTTTTGATCTTGATCCTATGTTAAAGGAATCTATTGTCATGTTCTGAAATAAAGAATTTTGGAGAGTACCATCATTTTTCACTTTAAAATTCTAGAAACAGTTTCAAAAAGCATTATTTTGTTTTGTTTTCTGGGATGGGAGAGGAGAGAATCTACAGATATTTATTTAGTTAAAAATCAAAACAACTCCGGCATAGGAAATAGGCAGTTCACATAGCCAGCCAACGTCTGAGGTATCATCAGTGTGAGACAAGGTCCCAGTCCATTCCTACTGGCCTAGCTGATCCTAAAAAAAATGGGAAGTTTATGGCTCTGCATAGCAAATTCCAGCAAGACAAGATGACCCTAAGCCTTTATTCAAATCCTTAGAAGCAGAGCACTATTAATATTTAGATGTAGAGCGCAAGAGCCCCCGATGGTCTCCTTCAACTTGCTTTGTCAATGCAGCCCGGTCACAACTGCCTTCTGCGAAGGAGCAGAATAGCTTCTCTAGATCAGCACATTGAACCTGGCAGAGAATCCGTGAAAATAACAGTACACCATTTCATCAACAATAGTCTCTTTGCTACTCATTGGGTTGCTTTATGTCTCTCTTCTACCCTGTATGGCCTGTGGACACATACTCACTAGGTATTGTTGGTTTAGAACCAGCAATTTTTTTTTTTTAATCTCATAAAGAACCTAGTAAGAAAATAACAAGGCAATCAGTGGTTAAACTGAACTGTACATATGGGGGCAGTTTGGAAAATACAAATCACAGGCATTTCTCAAGTCCAAAATATCCTATCTTTGCTGTTATTCCTTTCACCGTTCCTGAAAATTCATAGTACGAGTAAGTCCTAAATAAAAATTTTAAACTACCAGCATTCTCTGACATCATCAGACAGAAAATCAGAGTAATGTTACAAACCCACAATTCTAGAAAGTGTAGAAAGTGTGCTAACTCTCTGCCTGGACACTTCTTTAGTGATGGCCTGGAGTGCTCCCCTTCAGAAAAGAGAAGTTTCTGGGATACCCACTTAGCTTCATTGGTTGGAAAAGAGAAAAATTCGACTCTCAGCTAAGTTCTTTGAGAAGAAAGACTATTCTTAAAATGCCTTTTCCCCACTAATTTACCAAAATAAAAACCAAAACAAAAGGCTCTTGGCTACTTTGCCTAATGCTGAATAGGGTTTTCAAGAGAAGAAACTAACATGAACACCCATCATCAGTAAAGACTAAAAACCACCTGGATCATATAATATATATGCCACTGCTTTTTTTTTTTTTTTTTGGTGTTTTTTGTTTCTTTTTTTGTTTTGTTTTTTGTTTTTTCTAAAAGTGCCCAGGTGGGCTTAAGGCTGCCAGACTGCACACACACCTACAGCAACAAGGGCTTCTCCTATTCCATCTACAACATGTATTAGGGGAAAAAAGAGGGATAGGGGAAAGAAGAGCAGAGGGGGAAAATATACACCCACCACCACTGAAAGAAAGAAAGAAAGAGAGAAAGAAAGAGAGAGAGAGAGAGAGAGAGAGAGAGAGAGAGAGAGAGAGAGAGAGAGAAAGAAAGAAAGAAAGAAAGAAAGAAAGAAAGAAAGAAAGAAAGAAAGAAAGAGAAAGAAAGAAAAAAGAAAAGGAAAGGAAAGGAAAGAAAGAAAAAAGAAATGAAAAGAAAAAAGAAAACAAAGGAAAGGAAAAGAAAAGAAATCCCACAACAGGGAGATCTATGTGCCAAGCATAATGGAAAAGTGTGCTCCCCAAACAGATGGTTCTGCACAGGCTAATGTTCTGCTGGTTTTCCTCAGAGACCTATTTTGAAAAGTTAAAAAAGACAGGAGATTTTGATATAATTCAATCCTGGCAGAAATTCAAACTCCAACAATTAGGAGCAAAATCATCCTTCACTGAATTAATCCCTTTTTTCTTTCTCTTTTTCTTTTCTTAAACATTTTATTCATGTTATAGAGGGATTTCTTTTTTGTTTGCTTTTTTCCAATCATTAGGAAAGTGGTTGAGGAGTACTGAATCCATCACTACTTTGGTGACACAGTTAAAGATTCCAGATTCACATTTCCAGGTACCAAGAGTTCCCTCTAAATGTACAATCAAGTCAGCCTTCGTTTACACTTCTTTCTACTGAACACAGCAGTGCCCATTGGTGTCTCTGACGCGCAATCGCATCTTAGGTCGGTATTTCTCCAGGTAAAGCAGCTGTTTGGAATTGAATGCTCCCCTTCTTTTTCTGAAAATACAAGAATGACAAACTTGATCATGTAAAAAAAGAGCTGTCTCACTGAAATGCATTATTTATGGCCTAAGGCCTTTCTAACTCCACACAGCTCAAAAAGAGCATTATTTCCTATACCGTATCACTTAAGAGGAAGGGCTGATGGGTGAGCAAGCAGTGTGTGAAGCAGCAGGCACAGATGGCATTCCTTTAACTATGTCACTTTCCTAGAGCTGCTACCATACATTTCATGCCCTCTTATCAGTCTTTTTTTTTTTTTTTTTTTTTTTAAAGAAAAGGTTGAAAGGGAAAGGACAAGATAGTGACTGCCAAAGAATTCTGGACAACAAAATAACACGGCCCATTATTCCAGACTGATGCCAAGATTATCTGAGCAATACCATCCTGATTTGTGCCTGAACAGGTCACTTAAGAGGCATAGGTGATTAACTCCTTCTCTATGGATTCTTCCCTGCCTCTTGGTCATAGCTGCATTTGGAAGGTATTTTAGATATCCATTAAGAGAGTCACTAGATCACTTAGACTACTACCTGGCAATTCATTTTAAAGATTCCTAGATATTCAAGTCACATACTGGACATATTCTACAGTGTCCAAATTTGCCAGCTAAATTAGCAAATCTTTAAATCTGGGAGCCAACAGGACTATTACGAATCTCTCTACCACTTGTTCCTTTTGATTTCTTCAATCAATCTTTTAAGCCAACAAATTATTCCATACTACAAAGGGTACTTTCCATAATTCCTTCTTCTTGTATGGTCTTCTTTATGTGTTTCTGAACATAAAACTTCATACTCACTGTCTTATAAACTGAACTGCATCTTCATACTTCATTCCACATTCAATCAAAGCAAGTGCAACCAGCACAGGTGCCCTACAGAGAGAAACTCATTTGTAAATACCCACAAGTCTTTGGAATTAAAGGATTTTTTTAAAAAAGATTTTATTTATTTATTTGAGAGAGTGAGAGAGGGGTGAGGGGGAAGCAGACTCCCCACTCAGCAGGGAGCCCAGTGTGGGGCTCAATCCCAGAACTTGGGGATCATGACCTGAGCCAAAGGCAGACACCTAAGCAACTGAGGCACCCAGGCACACTGAAAGACTTTTTTTAAAACCCGGGATTACATATTACCAAAACAATGCAAAGCTTGAGCTTTCCTTTTCTTCCCTTATATTAAAATATCTGTTTTCCCTATACAGTAAAAATGTCTGTATCATGATAGTGTCTATGGTGTCATCCACTTTTAGTAAAGCACTAAATTCTACATCTTCATTAAGAGATCTTTATTCTTGGGGCACCTGGGTGGCTCAGACAGTCAAGCGTCCGACTCTTGATTTCGGCTCACATCATGATCTCGGCTCACATCATGATCTCAGTGTTGTGAGATCAAGCCCTGTGTGGGGCTCCACATTGCGCATGAAGCCTGCTTAAGATTCTCTCTCCCTATCCCTCTGCCCCTCCCTGCTCCCCTGCAGGCATGCACTCACTCTCTAAAAAGATCTTTATTCTTTAAAACATCAATTATCTCAAATTTACACATTATAGGTCATCAAAAATTCATCCGGCTTTAACCATCATCACACAGTAAGAAAAAAAAAATGACCAAATGTGTCATCTATATTGAGTATCTCAGAAATTTCATTACAAATCCATTTTAGTAGCTTTTCCTCAATACTAAAAAGGTGCTAGATTTCTTCAACAAAATCCTTTCTGTGAGCTAGGAGAGTGTCAGAGAATTGGTCATTAGGAACAGTTCTCTATGTAAGTATGTGGGGTTTTTTTGTTTTTTACATCTAACAAGGGACACTGAGGCCTGAGCAGGTCTCAACCTGTCTGTGGTTTGGGAATATTATATGCTTCAAAAAGCAAAGTAGAGGGTTTGTCTTCTGGGAAGACAAAGCTGTCTTCTCCTCTGAAAAAGTCTCCAACATAGTTGGATTTGGCATCTTCTAGGAATAGGAAGGCAGGGATTGAGGCCTCATGAGTCTGGGTTTACAGCTGAGGTAGAGAGAGAAGACAGTGATTATAACCAGAAAGTCCAGGTGAGCTGTAGTTACCTCCAGTACTCCTCACTATTAACACCCACTCTGGGTTTCAGGACAGTCACAGAAATAGATTCCTTAACAATAAAATAACAGTAATACACACACAGACAAAAATCTAGCAAGGGAAATGACGTTTTAAAATGTCCACTACATGGCACCAACTTTGGACTACCTGCTAGGATAGCTACCAGTTACCAAACTGCGTAAGTCAAGTTAGAACACTACCTTCACCCTTCAGAATAAGGACTGGAACTTCTGACCCTGAAGAAGAAACTGTACCACACTAAACTGCAAAAAAAGGAAAAGAGCAAACAAAAGGGCTGAGCAGGGGTAATAACCTGAGTCACCACCACCTTGAGGCAACAGCAGCCTGCACTAATGTTCTTCTGAGTCAAAGTGCACATCATAAACTGGCATTTAATCTGCTCTTGATGAGAGTGTTGCAACACCATTCCATGCAATGCTCAAGGAAAAAGGTCTTAAAATCAAAGTTACTTTTTGTTCTCCGTACATCTCCTTTCAGAAGTTTAAAGTTCAGCCATCTGCTCTGCACCTATTAATTTCCCATTCATCTCAATCCAAAATTAACCACATATAGATTCTTCAGAATCTAAAATTATTTTAATTTTGTTGCCCATTTCAAAGACCTAAGCCTCTGAATATGTGAAATAATGAGGAAAAAAACTCATACTGAATTAACCAATTTTTAGCTCAAATATAAAATAATTACATTAAATCAGTTTCGAAACAATTTCTGAGCCATCATCCACTAAATCTATTATGGGCATCAGAATCAGACAACCCACGAAACACAAAAAGCTGTCTTAAGAAACCATTACACGAGCTTCTGCTCTCATTTTCCTTTCCTTCATGCAATTTAATATTTGGTGTAATAAATACAAACTTCTACCAAAGTTAAATTTTTGATAATGAATTCTGGGACAAAAAGGTAAGAGCTTACCTTCCCAATCCTGCAACACAATGCACTGCAACACAGCAACCTGGCTCTTCACGAAATTTGGTTTTTAACAGGTTTAGCCAATCGTCTACTATCTGATTAGGGGGTGGCGCTCCATCATCAAATGGCCAATCCTGGAAAGAAAAGATCTTTTACATTAAATTGTTATTTTCTGTGGAATAGTATCTAATGCAGAACAGCTGCATAGAACACAGAGTGGATCTAACTTTTTTTTTTAGGGGGTGGGTACAGAGAGAGAGGGAGGGAGAGAGAGAGAGAGAATCTTTTTTTAAATTTTTTATTGTTATGTTAATCACCATACATTACATCATTAGTTCTTGATGTAGTGTTCCATGATTCATTGTTTGTGCATAACACCCAGTGCTCCACGCAGAACGTGCCCTCTTTAATACCCATCACCAGGCTAACCCATCCCCCACCCCCGTCCCCTCTAGAACCCTCAGTTTGTTTTTCAGAGTCCATCGTCTCTCATGGTTCGTCTCCCCCTCCCCCTCCGACTTACTCCCCTTCATTCCTCCCCTCCTGCTATCTTCTTCTTTTTCTTTTTTCTTAACATATGTTGCATTATTTGTTTCAGAAGTACAGATCTGTGATTCAACAGTCTTGCACAATTCACAGCGCTCACCATAGCACATACCCTCCCCAATGTCTATCACCCAGCCACCCCATCCCTCCCACCCCCCACCACTCCAGCAATACTCAGTTTGTTCCCTGAGATTAAGAATTAGAGAGAGAGAATCTTAAGCAGACTCCATGCCCAGCACAGAGCCCAATGCAGGGCTTAATCTCACAACCTTGAGATCATGACCTGAGCCAAAATCAAGAGCTGGACACTTAACCGACTGAGCCATCCAGGTGCCCCTACATATCTATTCTTTTTTTTTTTTAAGATTTTATTTATTTGAGAGAGAGCACACAAGCAGGGGGAGGGGCAGAGGGAGAGGGAGAGGGAGAGGGAGAAGCAGACTCTCTGCTGAACAGGGAGCCCTACGCGGGACCCTGAGATCATGACCTAAGCCGAAGGCAGACGCTTAACCGACTGAGCCACCCAGGCCCCCCAATATATACCTATTCTTAATAACACAATTCTGATCACTGCTGAAAGTTTTTTCTAAGATCAAAATTCATGTGTGCCAAGGAACTCAGGCTTCTCAATGACATGTTGTCAGCACTGTAAGCATCTAATTTTATCTTACAGAAATCTCTTATCAGAGTGATAAGAAACTAGTGTTCTTCAAATATTTTATCTGAACAAAGCAATAATTAGACATAATAGAGAAAACTCTAATTAGGGCCTCGGCAAAGTAAGAGAGAATACAACACCTGTCAATATAATTTAAAGGTCCACTCTGGCAAAGAAGCGTATCAACTAGTATCTCATTGATCTCTACAAATATTTTGAGGATTATCCCCCAAATAGTTCTAAGCTATGATGCCTTTTCTTTAGAGAAAGGCTCTCTCATAAGAAATCTCCAGTAGTGGGGCACCTGGGTGGCTCAGTTGGTTAGGCGACTGCCTTCGGCTCAGGTCATGATCCTGGAGTCCCGGGATCGAGTCCCACATCGGGCTCCCTGCTCAGCAGGGAGTCTGCTTCTCCCTCTGACCCTCTTCCCTCTCGTGCTGTCTCTCATTCTCTCTCTCTCTCTATCAAATAAATAAATAAAATCTTTAAAAAAAAAAAAAAAGAAATCTCCAGTAGTTAGCATATCATAACAGAAATATACTACCATCTTTGTGCTTGTATATTTTTAAAAAAGGGGTGGGGAGCACCTGGGTGGCTGTCAGTTAAGCATCTGCCTTCAGCTTGGGTCATGATCCCAGGGTCCTGGGATCAAGCCCCGTGTGTCTGGCTCCCTGCTTGGTGAGGAGTCTACCTCTCCCTCTTCCTCTGCTCCTCTCCCACTTGTGCACACGCTCTAATAAATAAAATCTTTAAAAATAAATAAATAATAGTAAATATTTTTAAAGCTCTGCCTAAATTATACAGATCCCATCTAACAAGCACAAGTGCCACATGATAGGGTCCTGAGCAAATGGAGACCTTTTTCCCAAGTATCCCTTTCTCTTTTAATATTCATCGATTTGTGTATGTGTGTGTTTTTAAGTAATCTCTACCCCCAAGGTGGGGCTGAAACTTCACAACTCCAAGATCGAGAGTAGCATGTTCTACTGACTGAGCCAGCCAGGCGCCCCTTGGGTTGTTTTTTAATTAAGACCAACCCCATGTGCATATAGGCAGGGTTTATCTTCCTTTCTACCTAGCAAAAGGGCCTAAGAAACCAACATAAATCAGCTTTAAAGAAAGAGGGGAAGGGAATTCACATTTTGCATTCCCTCTCTCCCATCTACCTTCAAGGACAGAAATGCAAAAATGCTGGGAATTTTTTTTAAAACATAAGATTATTCTGGGGCACCTGGGTAGCTCAGTTGGTTAAGCGACTGCCTTTGGCTCAGGTCATGATCTTAGGGTCCTGGGATCGAGCCCCGCATCGGGCTCCCTGCTTGGCGGGAAGCCTGCTTCTCCCTTTCCCACTCCCCCTGCTTGTGTTCCCTCTCTCACTGTCTCTCTGTCAAATAAATAAATAAAATCTTAAAAAAAAAACCCATAAGATTATTCTAATGAGATTGGATAAGGACACTTTAAGATGCTAGAGAAAGAAAAGTGACAAAGCACTAAATTGATTCTGCACTCATTATGGGCACCACTAGAACACTTCATGTAGCACCATTAGCTGTGACAACACATTATGTTTGATTTGTCAACTACACCCCATAATTAAAGGGCTGTCAGTGTTATCATTACAAATGTCACTAAGTTTAACTGTAAATAGCAGTAAAATCAGTAAGCAAGTACCTTGAGAGCTTACTTCCTCTAATACTCCCTAAAATACATCCAGTTAAGTAACAATAATATGAAACATGCTTCACTTACTCATATAAAGCAGTTTCTATCAAAAAAAAAATCATTAAAATAATTATTTAGAACTGTCTGAACTTCAAACTGACAACTGAAACCACCATTAGTCTTTTCCAATATGCCTCTGATTTGCAAGAACATTAGTCAAAAGATTTTAAAGGTCTTATTTTGGGGACAACCTCTTACAAAGTATTCCAGGGGCGCCTGGGTGGCTCAGTCAGTTGAGCATCTGACTCTTGGTTTTGGCTCAGGTCACGACCTCAGGGTCATGAGATCAAGCCCTTCATAAGGTTCCCCACTCAGCACAGAGTCAGCCTGAGATTCTTTCTCTCTTCTCCCTCTGCCCCTCCCCCCACACTCGCAGGCTCTCCTTCTCACTCTAAAATAAATAAATAAATAAAATCTATAAAGTATTCCAAAACTTCTTCACTTAGCAAAAGTAGATTAACAATCCACTTAAAATCTCTGGAAAAAGCAAAGAAATTCCAAGCTTAATTCTAAATGTCCTTCTTGTTTAAAAGTTTAAGTTAGACCTTTAATTTTATCCGATCATAGCTATTTAAAACGAAAGTGTAGATTTAAAGGTGTAGAATAAATCCCAGACCTACCATTATCTTTGACAAACTGGTTCAAGTTCTTTAGTTCATCTCTATCTCATAAAGGTGTTTACCAACATTACTGATTCAAACAAACTATAGTCAGTCCACAGTTCATTTTCTCACACATGCCATCTGTCAAAACAAACTGATTTCTCATCTGCCCACTGGAGAACATACTCACAATACAGGAAAAAGAACTTGTAGTCAGCCTAGTTTCAGAAGTTAAAATTTTGTTTTTATATTTTTAAACACGGGGTTACATTTTATACATGTTTATATGTATCCCCAGTGATTTCCAGCCAGGGCACCTTAAAGTCCTTTAGAAATGGGAATGAAAGCAAATTATCACCATACCATTCTATTAAAAAACATAATGATTGGCTATTTAGTTTTTGTGTTTTCACCAAAATGGAGGTGAGGAAACTTTGTGGATCAGACATGAGACAACTGCCTTACCAACAGGACATTTATTTTCTTTGCATGAACTGCCTTCCCAACTACTGACCAATGCATAAAGACTACAGAACTACCTCTCAATAAAAAAAAAGGAACATAACCTTGTACCAGTATCTTATTACTTTCTTCCTAACCAACTACTTAAAAACTCTCCAGTTCTCTTCCTACAACACTGTCTTCCCATGATTAAATCAAAGAACTCTAAGACACCTAAGACTATAAGGTCATTTCATTACATGCTCTTGCGGTTTAGACAACTATTTAGGCAAGAAGGTACAAAATTTTACCTAACCTGAGGCTCCTGTTTCCAATAAATGAAATAGTGTATTTAGGGACTAAGGAGGAATTTAAAATAATTCCAATCACTTTATGTTCAAACTGAAAACCTTCTTAGAACCTACCACAAAGTATCAGGAACTATGCCTTCTTCCTCTCCCTTAACCTCTTCTCCAGCCTTTCTGTCCCCTATAGGTTATCCACAAAATAGTAACTAATTAGTACTTGCAAAATCAGACAGAATACAGCTGACCCTCAAACAACACAGGTTTGAACTGTGTGGGTCCACTTATATGCAGATTTTTTCCCAATAAACACAGTAGAGTACTATAAGTGTATTTTCTCTTATTTTTAAATAAAATTTTTTCTCTAGCTAACTTTATTGTAAGAATATAGTATATAATACATGTAACATACAAAATATGTGTTAATGGCCTGTTTATGCTATTGGTAAGGTTTCTGGTTAACAGTAGGCTATTAGTAGTTAAGTTTTTGGAAAGTCAAAAGTTATATGTGGATTTCTGACTATGTGGGGGTTGGTGTCCCTAACCCCACATTCAAGGGCCAACTGTATTTCCATGTGACTTAAGAATTTCTGATGGAAATTACTTTCAGTTAGATTCAAACCAGTAGCCTAGATACAAAAGTTAAATATTGCAATAATTTCCTAGAGAAAATAAAATACAAATTTCCATTTTCTTGAAATAAGTGTACACTCAATTTTGCTTTTCATTTGTTGAAAATACTCTGCATATATAAACTTTAAGGGCACAAATGGACAAAACTGCCAATGCAAAAATTTTTAAAGATTGTTACCAACTATATCTCCTATAAGCTTAAAAAGCATACTACTGAGTGCCCAGTTTTAAAAACAGTTAAGTTTAAAAGGTACTAGTTGTTTGTAGTGAAAAATTAAAACACTACACACTCACTAGAACGTGGATTCCTTCTTTTTCAACTGGAGCTTTATCATATGTAGCATCACAAACTCGAACCAAAGTTGTCACTCCATACTTCTTAAGTTCCTTTAAAGAAGAATATAAGGGAACATGCTTTTAGAATCTGCAACCAAAACTTTGAAAATGTACTATTATAAACTGAAGCAATGAGACATCATTCTTAGACGAAGATAAAAATCATTCTCATGGTGGCAACATATAGAATGGACACTCAGGCTCTTAGTGGAAGCATCAACACAATCACCTTTATGAAGGACAATTTGGTAACATATCACAAAAACTATAAAAGCACATATACACTCTGACCTAGAAATTCTACTTCTGAGAATTTATACTAACAAAGTAATTAAAGATATACCCAAAGATTTAGGTACCAGTGTGTTCAGCATGGGCTGTTTGGAATGGTAAAAAGATGGAAACATGAATGGTCCAAAACAGGGGAACAGTTACAGAGTATGGCACATCCATACAGGATACTCTGACAGCTATAAAAATAATATTAAAAAGGTTGGGGGAAGATTTTTTCTAAAATATAGTATGATCCTGGGGCACTTGGGTGGCTCAGTCGTTAAGCGTCTGCCTTTGGCTCAGGTCATGATCCCAGGGTCCTGGGATCAAGCCCCGCATCCGGCTCCCTGCTCCGCGGGAAGCCTGCTTCTCCCTCTCCCACTTCCCCTGCTTGTGTTCCCTCTCTCGCTGTGACTCTGTCAAATAAATAAATAAAAATCTTTAAAATATATATAAATAGTGTGTGTGATCCTATCTATCTGTATATAAATAAATATACACGTATATGCAGAGAAAAACATCCAGAAGCCGGATATTAAGAGTTAAGTATTTTCAAATTGTCTTTTTGTTTATGTGTATCTTCTGATTTTTACACAGTAAGTACTTATTGCTTTTTTAATTTAAAGAAACAAAAGTAGAGCGCCTGGCTGGCTCAGTCAGTGGAGCATGCAACTCTTGATCTTGAGGTTGTAAAGTTCAAGCCCCACAATGGGTGTAGAGGTTACTTAAAAATCTTTAAAAAAAATAAGATAAAATGAAAGAAACAAAAGTAATCTTGAAATTAAGATTAAAAAGTGGTATATTACAAAGCCAACAAACATACCATTACAGCCAGAAGCCTTGCTCCTTTAAAACTTTTCCTACCGTAATGCCTAATCCAGTGACCACCTATCTTCAATGGGCCACCAACATCTTTTTATAGTTGCAGGACAGTGGCCTCTGCCACTTTTGGAGTCTATGACCATGGAATCCACAGGCTGAAAATAGTATCACATAATTCAACCAGGCTTAAAGATGACTGAACCTAAGGGCACACAGGCCTGGAATCAACTTGTACACTGTGTACACAAAGTTAAGAAGCTCTGGGAATTAGAAGTATAAAGAGCAGGAACAGTGACATCCTATAAGAAGTGTCCATCCATCACTTGATTCTCCAAAGAGTCAAGTTATTTTTTGATTCTCCAAAGAGTCAAGTTATTTTAACTGCTAACGAACTTTATTTTTCACAGAAAGGCCTTCTTCTAAAACAGACTCAGGAAAGTTGTTGGTATTATATGCAGTCAGTTAATTTTAAAACATTTCAAAATACAGATAAAATCCTATTAAAATGAACTCCATGGTAGCCAGTCACAGAAAGGTTATAGAAATTTTTATAGTAAATATTTGTGTCCTTAAGCAAGTCAAAACCTCTTCTGAACTCAGTTTTGCCATCTGTAAAATGTGAGGGGTAGATTAATAATCCCTAGGAGTTCATTCAGCTCTTTAAGTCTACTCCATAAATACAGCAGAGAAAATGAAGGATCTGACATAAAAATGTTACCTATAATACCTTTCCTCCCTGTAAGGTTCTGACCCTTGCATATGATGGTCACTATTGCTAAGTAGTTCTGGAGTAGATTTTTATCAAAACTGGCTAGAATATTTGAGGCAGACACGGGTTTTTGAGTCAAGAGACAGTTCTACCATATGCTGTGTACCTTTAGGCAAATTACTAAATTACCAAATTGCCCTGAAACTCAGTTTCCTCATCTGTAGGAGGGAGATAATACCAGTACCTATATCTCATAGGGCTATCTTCAGTAGTAAATGATACAATGCATAAAACTGCTTATTGTAATGTTGGATACATATACTAAGAGTTCAATAAATGTTAATTATTTTTATTATTAAAAATATGAACTAACTATATAGAAAGGATATTTAAAAAAAAACCTACTAGATAATCTCTAAAGTCTCCCCAAATTCCATAAATGTTCTTTTAAAAAACTAATTCAACCCAATTCAAACAAAGATTGGTAGGATGACCATCCATATTCCAAACACGGAAATAAATGGCCTTGTATTAAGAGATTTCTTCATAATGCTGTTCATCTATAACTTTACCTATAAATCAATCCAAAAAGTAGACCATACTACAATCTTACCTCTGTGAACTTGTTGAGGGTCGCATTGGTAGGGTTGTGAGTTATCAGAAAACGCATATTCTCATAGGAGATCTCCACAGGGGCTGGACGGTTCATTATGGCAAATAAAAAGTGTGAGCGTGCGTGTGTGGGTGTGATGGGGAAAATGAAAAAAAAAATCAAATCCTGAAATGTTTCACAGCAGAAAACATTAAAAAGACCACTAAAATGCCTAATATTGATCAGTGTTTTCTCTATTCAACTTGTTTATTCTTTAAGAAGCTTCTCTCTTCAAGGTAAGCAGAAGTATTTAGAATCCACTTGAATCCAAATTCAACTTGGGCCTCAATGTCTGCAGATGGATACCTTCGGACTCCAAAAAAATCCAACTACATACAAAACTTAAGTAGCCTTTACTACATTTAGGCACTAGTGAGACAAGTTAAAAGTGTAGGTTGCTTTCCACTTTTGTTTACTTGATGCTTAATTTTACTGGAGTCATTAAAAGAAATATGCTTGCAATAAAAAAAAAAAGCCAACTATTTCTGAGGCCAGTCTCGGTGTCCAGAGTCTTCAAGGCAATGTTAATTATGGCACATAGAACCCCCAAGCTCACTTGTCAGCGAAAATGCTGTGCTGAGCCTGGCAGAAGTCTGCCCTCACGCTCAGAATCGCCATAAATGTGCAACGTATATTCCAACGAAAAACCTAGAGGAGAAAAACATAAGTAAAATGAACTGGAGATTGACAGCATGGTAAACATGATACTCAAAGTCAAGAATACGTTCTCTATGAGTCCAAAGACATCTGAAATGCCACCAATTCTAAATTATTGTCATCTACAAAAACTAGGATAAAAATGTATACCAAGAGTTTTAAGTCAGAAAATTCAAAAGTATGTCTTTCCTTTTTCAAAAGGGGGTTCAACAAAATTTCTGTTTGGTTATTTGTAACTCAATTTTTTTTTAAGATTTTATTTATTCATTTGAGACACAGAGATAGAGAGAGAGAAAGCATGAGCAGGGAGAGAGGCGGAGGGAGAGGGAGAAGCAGCAGCTCCTCGCTGAGCCAGGAGCCCGATGTGGAGCTCGATCCCAGGACCCTGGGATCATAACCTGAGCCAAAGGCAAACACTTAACCATCTGAGCCACCCAGGCGCCCCAACTCATTTTTAAGTGACCTTATTTTTAAATCCATTTAAAAGATTTATTAAGAGATCCTTAAAGAAACCTTCCCTCCACAGACTCTTCATAAAGTTCACAATGATCTTACTCTTCTGCTGTGATGGTTAAGTCCTTCACATATACACTTTGCTTAAAGTAAGATACATCTGTAGGGGCGCCTGGATGGCTCAGTCGGTTAAGCATCTGGCCTTCGGCTCAGGTCATGATCCCAGGGTCCTGGGATCGAGCCCCGAGTCGAAGCCTGCTTCTCCCTCTCCCACTGCTGTTTCCCCTGCTGTGCTCTGTGTCAAGTAAATAAAATCTTAAAAAATAACAATAATAAAATAAGATACATCTGTAAATAGATGAAGGGTATTTACCAAAATTCCACTTTGAGAATGTAATTCTTTCTATCCAAAGGATATGCATGCATTGGCCCCCAATTATAACACTAGTCCATAAGTACTTTTCAAAAAATTAATTTATTTCCCTTACAACTCTAAGTAGTTGTTACTACCTACAAGGAATGAGGAAAGAGGATCAGAAAGTGAAGTGACTTGTCTAAGGTGAATGTCTTCTGTTAGTCCAATGTTTTTTCCAATGTACCGTAATGCCTGCTGCCTCAACTAATGCATAAATCCCATCATCTCATTTCTAGTCCAGTTAACCCTTTTTTTTATTTTTTGAGAGAGAGAGACAAAGAATCTCAAGAAGGCTTTATGCCCAGCACACAGCCCGATGCAGGGCTCAATCTCATGACCCCAAGATCACCGACCTGAGCCGAAATCAAGAGTCGGACACTCAACCAACTGAGCCACCCAGGTGCCCCTAGTCCAGTTTACCTTTTTACTACTTCTCACAACACATCACTATCTCAAGAGTACAAAAGCATCTAAAGGTCATTGATTCACACAGCATTCTCCTACCCATACCAAAAACAAGATGAGAACGAAAAGTGGCAGAATTTTTAATATTATTTTGGGCTTACTGTACTGAAACACAGTAATCTTTATAGTTAGCTCAGTCAGAGTATCAACATAATCATAAATTGCTCTGGGGGCACCTGGCTGGCTCAGTCGGTAGAGCAAGCGACTCTTGATCTTGTGGTCATGAGTTCAAGCCCCATGTTGGGTGCAGAGATTACATAAATAAATCTTCATAAATAAATAAATAGATAGCTCTGAAAATAGGGACAAGGTCTAAGTTCTTTCACTTGCCTCTTCTCTAATGCATTAATAAATGCTTATTTAGTAGTCTCTGAAAAGATGACTGTGACCAGATAGAAAAAGACATGAAAGATATGTACTATAGAACCATTTCAGGAGGAAACTAAAATACAATTAAGGAAGAACCAAGGCCTACAAACTCTGAAACCTATTCTATCCACAAGTCTTTTTATGATATTCTTATGGCACTGTATTTTTAAAGTTACATACTTGTGCCAATATTACCATGGACACAAGCACAAAACTCAAACATTCCTAAAATATGAAAGATACATAAGAAAATCGAAATTCAAAATGGCATTCTAAGAACTTCAAAACCTCAGAAGTTATACACTACAGTAAAATCATGAAACTTCTAATACTCAAACTAAGAAAAATAAAAATATATACCATCACTTTCCTAATTACAACCCCAAAACAGCCACCTTAGATTACACATTTCATAGAGTACTCCCTGTGCAGTCAAGGAATTTTAAAGCTAGGAGAAACTTAGAGAGCAAGGACTCTGATCTTTAAAAAGAAAAGAAAAGAAAAAGAAAAAAAAAACAAGATGATATTTGTGAGCAAGAGAGGTTAAATGACTTAACTAAGACCACATCACTAATTAATAGCAGATCAAAGACAAGAACCCAGGTCTCCTAACTCTATTCATTTTTTCCTTCAGGTTTGACTATGGAGGTATCCACATATTTTTCAAGTCATAATCTTTATCATGTAGCTGTAACTTTTCTTCAAATATTTGCTTGGATGTTGATCTGCAACTCTGTGACCTTAAATAAGGGGAGAAAAAATTATTAAAGTAACCACTCAAAGAACAAAGGTTTGCATGCAGTGAAAAGCAAAACATAAGGAAATTCTAACCTGTTTGAATCCCTTTGGTTTAATGATGTTATCACAGCTAATATGTGTGTCAGCTGAGTAAAAGCACTGAAAGACCTGCTTTGTAGTGATAGCCAGGTTTGAAAGGTTACAGCTCTAGCATTAAGTTTTCTACCTAGTCTCCAGTGTTTGTCTGCTCAGCAAACAGAACAAGTTTTATCCCATCTTTCTCCTCCAACCTCATTTTGGAAGGACCACTTTCAAGGTTAAGGATAATTCATTATTAGATTTTCAATTCTTAACACCAAACTGAGATCCCCAGCAAAGGAATTTCCGCCAAATGAAACAGTATGTTCTATCAATGTTAACAGATACATGATAAAAACAAGCTTCTGTTCCTTCTCCCACCCCCAAGAGTTCAATTACACATCAAAAATTAAATGCTCTTGCACCTATAAATTCAGATAAACTAATGTTAATTCCTGTAACAGACATAAGAATACAAAGCAAACAGTCTGTAAAAAAAAATCATAACCTACCACAGCTGGAAGGTACTCAAAAGTTACAAAGCCCTGTATTTTAGCATAAACTCAGCACCTATACATCTTACAGGAAAACTTTCTTCTAAACTCGTCTCTCTGACATCAAGTAATTTTATCTTTTATAGAACCTAACTTTTAAAATGTTAAATTTTGGACATTCCCATTTCCTATGCAACATTTGCATTTTGAAGCAAAGAAGATAACTTCACTGCAGGATTAGAAAGAATGGTCTGTGACAGAGAAATCCTTTTAAATTAAGAAGGAGGAGAAGGAATGGGAAAGAGGAAAAAGAATGAAGAGGAGTCTGGAAGAACAAGCAAGAAGCCAACCAAGCTAAGATAGTGTACTACCACTAAGACTAAGTCAGTAACACAACAGAGACTACTTAAAACTTTGGAGAGAGGTATGTCAGAGTTTAAATGTCCTGTGTCAATACTCTAGTGCTAACATCTAACCTAGATGAGACTCAAAAACCAAATGCATGAAATAATACAATAACCATCATTTAATCATGACATATTTTTTTAAGATTTATTTGAGAGAGAGAGAGAGAGCACATGAGAGGGGGGAGGGTCAGAGGGAGAAGCAGACTCCCTGCTGAGCAGGGAGCCCAATGCGGGACTCGATCCTGGAACTCCAGGATCATGACCTGAGCTGAAGCAGTCGCTTAACCAACTGAGTCACCCAGGCGCCCTAATCATGACATATTCTTAAAGTGGAACATTATGCCGAGGTTAAAAAGAATAAAACAGGGTGCCTGGGTGGCTTGGTCGTTAAGTGTCTGCCTTTGGCTCAGGTCATGATCCCAGGGTCCAGGGATCGCGCCCTGCATTGGGCTCCCTGCTCAGCGAGGAACCTGCTTCTCCCTCTGCCACTCCCCCTGCTTGTGTTCCCTCTCTTGCTGTCTCTCTGCCAAATAAATAAATAAAATCTTTAAAAAAAACAAAAAAACCCCAGATCTATATGAAATACGGAAAGATGGCTGAGACACTAATAACTGCAAAGAGCACATGATAGTATGAACAGTATATACAGAAATATTTGTGAGTGTTGTACAGCTTTCATACCCATCAACTATCTGGAAAATTACAAAGAGGTAACTGGTTGTCGGGGTCAAGGGGACTGGAGCTGGAGGCCAGAAACATGATTTACTTTATCATAATACATCCCTTTTCAAATGTTTTGCTTTTCCCATGTACATGTATTACCCTTTTTTTTTTTAATTCTAGGGTGATAAAAAACCCTACAATGATTTACAATTTAACCACGTTCTCAAAAGTGCTATAACCATAGGATTATAAAGAGCCTTAAGAGAGCTAAGTCACTCCTGGTCCCAGGCAGGACTATACCTACACAATCCACAGACAGTTTTCTTCTTCGTTAAAGATACTAAATTATTGGGGCGCCTGGGTGGCTCAGTCCTTAAGCGTCTGCCTTCGGCTCAGGTCATGGTCCCAGGGTCCTGGGATCGAGCCCCACATCGGGCTCCCTGCTCGGTGGGAAGCCTGCTTCCTCTCCCACTCCCCCTGCTTGTGTTCCCTCTCTCACTGTGTCTCTCTCTGTCAAATACATAAATAAAATCTTAAAAAAAAAGATATTAAATTATTGAGTAAAATTCAGGTTCTTCTATGGCAACTGTAATTCTAAGTTTAAATATATGGAGAATTTGAGGGCAACCCAAACTTATTAGGCATCCTTTTAAAAATCCTGTCAATCCACTCACACCAAGTTTTCCACTCAGAAATTCTCTATTTCCAAGTTAAAGTAAATGATACAATAAACTCTCTAATTTGATGGGTTATGCCAGGATTCACTAAATTAAAACAATACATTATAATATAAATACACAATAAAGAAGTCTAGATCTAAGAAAAAAGTCTAAAAGCAAAGGTCTGGAAAAACAAGTAAGCATACATTTACTGTTACTTTTCTTACCAGAAGTTCTACAGGAAGTCATG